CCGGACACCGCAGCGGGGATGGCTGTGACGCAGCCCTGAGCCGCCGCCACCTCCCCGGGGCACTAAGGTGACATGGACCTTTCGGGCTGGTTTTACTGCTTCGCTCCTCGTTCCTCAGCCGTCATCTCCCTCCCACGCTCGCCCTTCGCAGCCGGCTCCTGAGGGCCCAGCGGCGGAAGAAGCAACGTTGCAGCTTTGCTGCTGCGTAGCTCAGCCCCCAAACCTCCTCCTCCGAAACAGGGCTGCTGCGAGGAGCCCTTCTGCCCTCCTGGTCACCGAAGAATGGGCCAAGAGACCAAAGCAGGCAACTTCGCTTTGCCGTGGGGTTTGCAGCAAGCGGGACTGCGATCTACCCGCTGGCAGCGCCCGCCCCAGGTCGCCCTCACCTTTCGGCACCCGTGGTCATCCTCCTCTTTCTCCTGGCTCACCCGACCGGGTTTTTTGCAGATAGAGGGCAGGGTCTGGTTACACGGGCTGTCGTTCCACCTCCCTTCCTGGACAGAGTGCAAAAGAGCAGGCTTGAGCCCATCCGACAGGAATTTCCCACCCGCTCCATCCCCAGGTCGGTCCCATAGATTTTCCTCCCCTGCCTCAAATCCCCAAGGCCATCATGCTGGATGTCTCCGTTCCCAGTGGCCGGTGGGTTCAAATCTGGCCACGTTGGGTTCAAACCCAGCTGGAAGTGCCCCTTCCCCAGGCCAGCCCCGCTCCCACGGGCTGTCTCCCACCAGCCCTCGGCGCCTCCGGCTCTCACCGGGCCCCAAATGGTCACGCAGTCTTCCAGGCTGTCGCGGAAGTTGTTGGGCTCGAAGGGATGCCAGTAGGTGAACCTCACCGGCGTCCCGTCCGACCACTCGAAGTTCATCTGCAGCTTGAGGTCATTCAGGCCAATCCACAGCTCTTCCACATCTGCCCAGGCAGGAGGGCAGGACAGGTCGGAGACCCGTTTGGAGATGGGAGGCAACCCCCCACCCACCCCGCTTAGCCGAAATCTGGCAGAAACTGGCCCTCCCTGTGCGTCGAGCCTGATGGTGTGAAGGATGATGGCCAAGATCAGGCCGGGGCAGGGCCATGTCTCTGGCACGCGTCTGCGAAGCGAATTCGCGGCGCTGCGCGGACATCCTCGGCTCTGCAACATGAGCCGAGCTCACGGCCGGGGTAGGGCTGCTCTCCTCCGCAGGGATGGCCCGCGGAGGGGAAAAGGAGCTAAATTTGCAAGTAGCTTTCGTAGCGAGGTGCTGGCAGCAGCCGGATGATAAAAGGCAGGACCCACAGGCTCGGTTCCAGTGAGCTACTGGTTTGAAACCATTCTCTCCAGCTGCATCTCACCATGTTCCCATCGCTGTCTGCTCCTGTCCTGGGATCCTGGCCACGGCTCCCTTTCTTCCTACACCCTCACACAGCTTCTGTCGCCATCTGCCTTAGCTCCTTTCAGCGCCACCGCCACTGTCCCCATCCCCATCTTCTCCCCTCTGCATTCAAATCAGCCTCGTCCCACATTTCTGCCCGGCTGCCATCCAGGTGGCATCCGCAGCGGATCTTGCTGCCAAGCTCTTCCTCTGCTGAGCAGTGACAAACTGCTGCTTTGCAGGAGTTTATAAGCTGGCCAGGGGGGTTGTGTTTTAATGGGAACAGCAAAATCCTAAACTGCTAATACCAGGGTGACATACGTCACAAGGACAGAGCAAGGGACAGCAGCAAAAGTGCTCCTCTATAAAGCTGTCACGGGATCGGGGGGTGGCTAGGGACATGCTTAGCAGAACAGCTAAACTCTTCCCTTGTCTCTCCCAGACACAGCTCATCTCCCGGACTGAAACTTTCCAAGTATCAGCCCGGCTCAGACAGATCCCTGACATGGGAAACTTCAACCCAGACAATTACGACTGGGCAAAGTTATAACTGGAAAGAGAAACTTTGGAAGCCTTAAGCATGAGTTCACCGTTAACTTGACCTACAGCAGAGGACAGTTTAACCGGGAGACATGTGTGTCCCAGATAGATTTAGCAACAAGACGAAAAGCGTTAGCAGCCTCTTCCAGCAAGGCCAGCATGAGCACTTTTTTGTTTTGCCTCTATATCTTCATTAAGCAAATGGGACTGGTGACATTTGCAGACAGGTCTGTGCTATTTCGTTGGGCTCTGCTGGGGATGGAGGCACCGTCCCTCTCTTGGCATCGGCCCCGCGAACCGGCGAAGGCACCGTAGGCGCCTGGGCAATGGCTTTTGCGTTTGGGACATGGGTTTCTCTGGGCAATGCGCCACCTCCCAAGCCAGGACCACCCCACTGCCCGCAGCCATGAGTTAATTTAACCTTGCAACCTCCACAACATAGAGGTTGTGGAGTGACCTGCCTGCAGACGAGGAGATAAGAGGGGAACTGTTCTGCCCAAAGTCACCCTGGCCATCCGTGTTGGAGCTAGGGATGGAGCTGAGCGTGGACCAGCCCCCGCGCACATCTGTGCCCTCTGCCTCGCGGTGGGATGCACCTCACTGCGGGCTATGGCTCAGAGACTCTGGCTCAAAACTTTGCTCACCCACTCGTGCCAATGCCTGGTAAAGAGCAGCCACCCCGCACGTTTGCAGCAGTGCAAATACTAACAGGATACCAACTTTTTTCCCTAGCTGCAACATTAATAAATAGGACGTGTGAGCATAGGTAGGGCCTGTGCAGGGCAAGCGGTGCTCCGCACACTCCCGGCTCCCGTGCGTCTCCATCCCCGTGCCGGGAGCGTGCAATGCCTGGCTTAAGCCTCACCTTGCTTGATCTGCTTGGTGACGAACTCCAGCTCGGAGAGGGTGTGGATGCTCACCAGGTCCCCCCCGCTTCGCAGGCAGGTCTTCTTCGCGTCCTGCCAACTTTTCTTCTCTCCCACCAGGCGGTAGCAGTTGGACTGGAAAGACTGCCAGCTGGGCTCGCAGTCCACCTTCACCTCCGACCATGAGTCTGCCAGGACACAAGGCAGCCTAAGGGCTCTCGTCCCTGCCTCTGAACCCTCTCCTCTGCTGGCGAAGGGGCACGCGGGCCCACGGGGAACCACAGAGCCCCCCATCACCCAAGACGAACCCTTTGGTGGGCTTCCAACTCCACCTTGCGTAACCGCATCCTCCTCAGCCTGCCCGAGGGGGGAGCACGCCATGACCCCCCGCAAGCACCAGCACCTTCCTCTCACTGTAGAGAGCCCCAAATCGAGAGCTGATGGGTCTGGGCTCAGCTACGGAAGTCCCGGTGGAGATTTCTCCTAGGAAGCTCCCCCCAGCCCTGACCTGCATCCATGGGGCAGCGGTACGCAGCACCGGTGATGCGTGGCCCCTCGGCTCACCCGTGGCGAAGGGATCGGCGGTGGCGTTGGGCTTCTTCTTGCAGACGTAGGGGAGGGCGATGCCGCAGTCACGGTTCTGCCAGCCACCCGACGACTCGGTCCGGATGACGCCGCAGTTCTCCTCGCTGGGGTTGTCGGGCTGGTCTGCGAGCCGGGGTGAGCAGGGAGGCAGGGATGTGACGGTGCGTTTTTTTGGGGCTGGACTCGGCGCAGCGGATGCCGCTGCGGGAAAGCCCCGAGCAAGGCTACAGCAGCCCATGCAACAGGGCCGTTCCCCGCCGCGACGCTGCCCTTGTCCCTCCGCCAGCCACCCCCCCGTGGTCCCCCTGGCCTCACCGCTCTCCCAGTTGAGGTACTTGAGCGGTGAGTTGTCCGACCACTGCCAGCCGCCGTTGATGTCCAAGTCGTTGAGGCCAATCCAGAGCGTGGAGCTGTAGCCCGTGAGCAGCCCTGGGGTAGATGTGGACAGGTCCGAGGGGCAGGTCAGAGCCTTCAGCCCTGGGCAAGGCTGAGCTCAATCTGCCGGCTCTGCCCTGGACGGTGAGTCCCCTGGCGGACTGAACCTGGCCTCGTGAGGGTGCAGTCACGGCCGAGGACACACGTTTTCCCTGCAGTGGCTTCCAGCCAGGAGGAACCTAGCCATCTCTTTAACCCACCACCTCTCACTTACACCCTCCTGCAGGTCCCACCAAGAGAGTGTCCCCTGTGCCACACGAGGACATCACGGATAGTCATGCAAGGTGCCATCACCTCCATGGTTCTCGGGGGGACCTGGGCAAGGTGACGCCAGCATCGCCCCCCTGGCACCTCACCGTTGATGTAGGTCTGCTCATGGATCTCGGTGATGCTCAGCAAGTTGGCACCTTGCTGCTCACAGCTATTCCAGGCCTCCCGCCACGACAGCGTTGACTGGAAGTTGAACTGGTAGCAGCTGTTGGTGAGGTGGTCCTTGTCCCAGAAGGTCTCACAGTCATTGCCTACGGGGAGAGAGCAGGGGCGATGGCGAGCGGGCGGCGCGGCCCCCGCTCCACACGTGGTTCCCTCCAAGAGGGAGGGCCCTCCGAGAGGGCCTTCAAGAGGTAATTCCCAATTTTTTGTCCTCTCGTATTGGAGGAGTCAATCAGCAGTCTGGAAAAGCCACATTTTGCAGGCTAACAAGCCTGCTGCAGGCTCTGGTGGGGAGCAAGCAGCCTTGAACATTGGCTTTTCTCTATCATGAGGAAAACTGCCCCCTAACCTGCAAGAGCTGAGATGTTGGAGCTGCAGCTGGGGCTGCTCCAGACCTGCAGGACCACCGCCACCCCGCTCCGACGAGCGCCATGGGTGGTCCCAAGAGGGACAAGACAAGAGCCGTCACCAGGAGTGTGGCGGAGGGAAGGGGAGAAATGCCACTGCCTGAGATCCCAGGAGCAAGGCACCATCAGCTCAGAGGAAAGCCCTCAGGAGGTACTGACCGGGGTTTGCTTTTCATGCCGATCCCACTTACTCTTAATGGGACAGAAGCCCCATCGTTCATCCTTGCCGTAGTCCTGGGTGGTGGCGCACCAGAGGTGGCCGTCCTCGCGCCCCGTGCTGGTGCACTCATGGAACCACTGGTTGTCGTACTTGAAGGGGATGGTGCAGGGCTTCCCGTGCGAGTTGCCCTGAATGGTGTAAATCTCTGCGGAAGAAGAGGAGCTCTCTCTGGAAGCAGCTCCCATGCCGCAGGCAATGGCCCGATGTGAGGGCTTGCTTTCCCGCGTGCTGTGGTGTCCACCAGGACCCAAGTGCCTCTTGGACAGTAGGATGCTGCCCTCAACTCTCATGCAACACACAGCCACCTGCACGGACCCTGCCTGGGCAGCACGCGGTTTTGCAAACCCCTTGAGCCAGGGACAAGCTCTCTGCTGACTTTGGCAGCAATCGGGGCTGCCCCCATCGCTGCAGGGCCTCCAGTCATACTTTGGGGCTGTTTTGCTTATTTTGGGTTGCCAGATAAGACAAGCATGAACATAGCCCTGGTGGCACAAAGGCATTTCATGCCTGCGCCTGCTGAAACCAGGCCAAACTCCCACTGCTGCTAATGGGCTCTGCCTCCCAGGTGTCCTCAGGGACCCACATCTGTGCGATATACGGGGGTCTCCCAGGCACAGAGACACTCAGGAGGGTGGGAAGCACCCGAGGGGGCAAAGGGGAGCCCTGCCAGGCATTACCAGAATAGGGCACGGAGCAGAGATCCTCCTCAGTGCCATAGGTGCGCCAGTGCGAGCCGCGGGCTTGGTCGCCCCTGTCGGTGGGCGCCAGGGAGGAATTGGCCGCCTGGGTGCCCAGGTGCTGTGAGAGCTGC